GAGGAGGGCCCCTGGAGCGTGGCTTTGGTATATATTTTGTCCTTGGTGAGCAGAGCTCTCTCTCTCTCTGGCTTCCTGGTGCCACATTCCCAGATGCTTTCCTCCTCACACTTCCACGGTGATGTTCTGCCTCAGATTGTCTATGGACTGAGACCTCTGAAACTGTGAGCTCCCAAATAAACTTGTCATGTTCTAATTGTTCTCGTCAGGTCTTTTGGTCACAGCAGTGTAAAAGCTGACTAAAATGCTAGAGTTCTCCGTGCACATCTCAGCCCTCCCTAAATAAATTCTTTGAGGCTTGTTGAGGCTCCAAACAATTTTTTTTTACCCTAACTTTTTTTTTCCTGGTGTTAAGGGTCTAATTGGGGCCTCGTGCTGCCAGTCAAGTGCTTTCCAATGAGCTACACCACAGCCCCACCATAATGGTGTAAAACAAAACTTGTAGAGTTTAGCATGAGTACCTGCTGTCACCCTCCTCCTTCAGCACTGCAGGACAAGGTCTTATTCCAATCAGTTTAGTCACAGGATGGGGAAGCACCATTACTACTCAGATGTTTTCATCCTGCGGATGACACTAACATCATGAATGCAGCAAAGTAGAAGGATATGAAATCAACACCCATAAATCAAAGGCATTTCTGTATATCATGACAAATCCTCTGAAAGGGAAACGAGGAAAACTACCCCATTTACAATAGTCTCAAAATAAATAAATAAAATACTTGGGAATCAACTTAATGAAAGAGGTGAAAGACCATTACAATGAAAACTACAGAACCCTAAAGAAAGAAATCAATGAAGACCTTAGAAGATGGAAAGATCTACTTTGCTCTTGGATAGGTAGAATTAATATTGTCAAAAGCACTATACAGATTTAATGCAATTCCAAACAAAATCCCAATGGCATTCCTCATAGAAATAGAAAAAGCAATCATGAAATTCATCTGGAAAAATAAGAGACCCAGAATAGCTAAAACAATCCTTAGCAAGAAGAGTGAAGCAGGTTGCATCACTATACCAAATTTTAAACTATACTACAGAGCAATAGTAACAAAAACAGCATGGTATTGGCACCAAAATAGACTGGTAGACCAATGGTACAGAATAGAGGACACAGAGACTAACCCACAAAATTATAATTATATTAGACAAAGGCACCAAAAACACACATTGGAGAAAAGATAGCCTCTTCAACAAATGGTGCTGGGAAAACTGGAAATCCATATATAACAAAATGAAATTAAACCCCTATCTCTCACCTTGTACAAAACTCAATCTCAAAGTAGATCAAGGACCTAGGAATTAAACCAGAGACCCTGCATCTCATAGAAGAAAAAGTAGGCCCAAATCTCCATCATGTCAAATTAGGCCCCAACTTCTTTAATAAGACTCCTATAGTGCAAGAATTAAAATCAAGAACCAATAAATTGGTTGTATTCAAGCTTAAAAGTTTCTTCTCAGCAAAAGAAACAATTAAGGTGAATAGAGAGCCTACATCTTGGGAGCAAATTTTTACCACACACACATCAGATAGAGCATTAATCTCTAGGGTATATAAAGAACTCAAAAAGCTAAACACCAAAAAAAAAAAAAAAAAAAACCCAATCAATAAATGGGCCAAGGACATGAACAGACATTTCTCAGAAGAGGATATACAATCAATTAACAAATATATGAAAAAATGCTCATCATCTCTAACAATTAGAGAAATGCAAATCAAAACTACTCTAAGATTTCATCTCACTCCTGTCAGAATGGCAGCTATTATGAAGACAAACAACAATAAGTGTTGGCGAGGATGTGGGGGAAAAAAGCACACACATACACTGCTGGTGGGACTGCAAATTGGTGCAGCCAATATGGAAAGCAGTATGGAAATTCTTTGGGAAATTGAGAATAGAACCACCATTTGACTCAGCTATCTCTCTCCTCGTTCTATGCCCCAAAGACCTAAAACAGCATAAAAAGGGACACAGCCACATCAGTGTTTATAGCAGCACAATTCACAATAGCTAAACTGTGGAACCAACCTAGGTGTCCTTCAGTAGATGAACGGATAAAGAAAATGTGGTATATATACACAATGGAATATTACTCAGCAATAAAAGAGAATGGATGGCGTTGGAGAAGATAATGCTAAGTGAAGTCAGCCAATCCCAGAAAATCAAATGCCAAATGTTTTCTCTAATATAAGGAGGCTGATTCATAGTGGGGTAGGGAGGGGGAGCATGGGAGGATTAGACGAATTCTAGATAGGGCAAAGGGGTGGGAGGGGAAGGGAGGGGGTATGGGGTTAGAAATAATAGTGAAATGAGATGGACATCATCATCCAAAGTACATTTATGAAGACATGAGTGGTGTGAATATACTTTGTATACAACCAGAGATATGAAAAATTGTTCTCTATATGTGTAATATCAATTGTAATGCATTCTGCTGTCATTTATAACAAATTGGAATAAAAAATTTTTTGAAAAAAGCCAACTCATTCCTGATGAGGGTTAGGGTGAACTTGAAACATTTTCATTTTGTTTTGGTGGAAATTTTTAAATCAAAGGTAGATCTATTTTTCAGCTCCCTCCCTCCAAGTGTCATTTACAAGTGTGCTAATCTTGCACTTGAGTGTTGATACTGTTGTAAACGTGGATTTACTGGTTGGAGATGCCTTATTATAAAATAAACAAATATAGGCAAAAAGAAATATGACTTAAACCACAGTGGTGGGGAGAGTAGAATTTTCCCTTTGGAAAATAGTCGCACAAGAAAAACACGCATTTGACCAAACAGAGGGTGAAAGGTGGAGAAGCAACAGCGCTCCTGCGCACCACACACCTGGCTGCCAGCAGAGAGGGCCTGCCTTAGTGCAGCGCCAGCCAAGGTGATTCTGCTCCTGAGCCAGTTCAAGTTCATCTGCTGATTCCAGCACAGGCTGTCGGGGAGCAGGGACTCAGGGCTTGTGGATAGCCCTTTCCACCTGCCAACGTATGTGCCCATCGACCTGTGTGAGACGGAGTGAGACGAGGCCAAGGCTGAGGACAGCCGGACCTGGGTCTCCCTGAAAAGCCGCACGGCTTCCACCAGCTCATAGTCACTTGCTCAGGTCGACTCCAGGGAGGACCTGCTCCGCCAGCAATGTCTCGCCCATGCCTCAAAGCACAGAGTTTAGATGGACGGACCGTGAGTCCTGCATGTTGAGAATAACCAGGCGACATCCCTTGCTAGAGTGGGAAGCACATCGGGAGGTCACAGGGAGGCACCGTCCCGCCTCCTGGAGCTGGAGTGGAGGAAAGAGGAAACAAGCCACACGATGCTGCTTCCAAGCGCTAACTGAGAGGCACTGGTGGCTGCCATCTCCAGTGTCCCCTCCCCTGCTGCTACGTGAGCACTGACACATAGCTGCACGCCTACCTGTGCTTTACCTTGCAACAGACCTTGGAACACTTCATTAAGGCAGGATATTTCCTTACATGGTGTTTTGCTCTTCGTAGGTATGTTGCCCCTACAGCCTTCCTGATAGTCATTAGTGCCCCTGGACTAAAACAGATGGCACTTCTGCCACGGCTGCTCCTTCAGGGCTGTTGCTTTGGGGAAAGGAAGACTCGGGGGCTGTCCCCTACATATGGAGGGGAAATCCCAGTTGCCTGAGCTCAGATAGAACAGTGACAGGATATCTTGATTAAAAATTGACAGTTTAATTCAACACCTTCAAGTCCTTATTTTCGAAGCTCTGTATCATTTGAGTGTCATGAAATCTTTCTTTGAGAAATGAGCTCTGAGCCATGAAGCAGGAGCTGCTCGTGTGTTACAACCTTGTCCTTGAGGTTAGAATCCATTCTGTTTATGTTAGACAATTTAGAAATGAGGCTGTGGTGTGTGGGGTCCCACAGACAGTGTATCTATGGTTCGATAAAGATTTGCAAAAACACGTTTCTCCAGCTTGTCTGAACTTTGCATATTAAGTAGTTAAATAACATGAAAGAGTTATTTTTTAAGTTCCTTGAGATAGGACAATACCATGGTATCTGCAGTTATAACCACCAGGACGAATGCTTATAATATGCTTCATAAATTTGCTAATGAACCAGGAGAATGGGAAGGTATTTGCTGTTCTGGGTGCACCGTGGGCGGCACTCATCTCCTGAGCCCCCGTCACTAAGGGGATCGCCCCCGTGGCTTCTCCATGCCACTCTGTAGGTTGTGCAGAGCTAGCTTTCCTTCCTTCGTGTCCACACGCAGCCATCCTGCTTGCCCATGGAGTTTGGTACGGCCCTTATTTCTTACAATGGTGATGTGTTAGAAAACAACTAATCAGATCAACTAAATGCGATTTCATTTTTATACTTGCGGGAGCCCTTCAATTAAATAAATTATAAACCAGACTGTGTTTCCTAATTAGAGGCCAGAAAAATGCAGTTCCTGTTCTGTGCCTGATTCTTGTGGAGCAAAGAGAAGGATGCTAAAGCTTTGCTGGAACGTGCTTAGACACCAGACCCAACTCAGGACCGCCCTTGCTGTATGTCGTCAAGACAGACTTAAGAAATCTCAACAGATGCATGATCCAGGAACAAGTGTAACCAGGCTTCTTACTCAGTTCTCCCACAGAATGCTCAGCAAAGTCAGACATTGCTGTGTCTCTTCCGGTTACCATGTTCTCCCAGCAATATGCAAATGCACAAGCCAATGTCGGCCAGCCATCTGCCTTGTTTTATTGACAATACTTTAACTAACCAAAACATTCCAGAAGCACTGCCAAGCCTACCAATGAGGACCCAGTAGGGAACTTACATCAGGAGAATAGCTGTGCAGGTGGCACAAGCACATATCACAGTGTGCACCCAGCGGTGCCCGGTGCAGCCGTCACAAGGCTGGACGCCACTCCCTGGCGGACCACCCTGCTGCACAGGTGGCAGCTTCCCCAGGGAATAAAGACAAACCCGGCAAGCCCAGCAAATGCACTGGGGCCCCGTAACCGTGGTCCAGAATAACACAGTGTCTCTTACCTTGCATTGTTGCTTTTGTTGGTTCTGAAAACAGAGGAATGAGCAAGAGGTAGATCAGGTAGACAAACGACAGCCCGTTGTATCGGAATGCACACGCTGCAGTTGGGAAGAGAGAAGAGGGAGAACGTTGTTACCAAGCAGGTCAACAGAAGCCGGTGTGCACAACAGTGTGGTGACGGCACCAGCTGCCACTGGAAGGAACAATACCACTTCCTGTGTGGACATGTTAATCCCATTGCAATAAATGAGTATTTATTCCATGTTCATCACTATGTCAAATGTGATGTGAAACAGAATTAAAATACATGGTCCCAGGTCTTCGAATCTAACCTGAAAGCATAAAATAATAAAGAGACACTATTAAAAATAATAATCACTACAATAATTTGTTGAGATATACATAATATGAAAAGATGTGCATCTGACATAAAAACCGAACAGTGTAGTCTTTTATATGCAATTGACATTGTTATCAGCTTCAAAAAGCCTGTTATAACTGTATTTTATGTTCACCTAATCACGACCATTAAACAAAAACCTATAGTCGATTCACAAAAGATAGAAATTTAAAAAGTAGAGTGGGTGGTAGTGGCGCATGACTGTAATCCCAGAGGCTCATGAGGCAGAGGCAGGAGGATCGGGAGTCCAAAGCCAACCTCAGCAACAGTGAGGCACTAAGCAATTCTGTGAGACCTCATCTCTAAAGAAATTACAAAATAGGGCTGGGGATGTGGCTTAGTGATTAAGTGCCCCTGATTTCAACTCCTGCCCAGCCACCCCCCCCCCCCCCCCCCAAAAAAAAAAAAGAAAATTAAAACATGCAACTGGAGAAAAATCATCAAATGAAAAGGAAGGTGGCAAGAGAGGAAGAAAGGAACCAAAGAAGGACCAAGCAATGGGAAGAGAGGCGACAAAATGGCAGCAGGGAGTCCTCAGCTAGGGACAACCACCTCCGATGCAAATGCACTACGTTCTCCACTCCAAAGAAGCAGAGAGGACAAGGGGATGGAAAAACAAACCCACTAGGTGCTGCCTACAAAAGATTTTCTCCACATTTAAGAAGACACAGGAAGTGAGAGTGAAGGGTAGAAAAAGATATCCCAAGCAATTTGAAATGAAAAGAGAATAGAGTGACTACACTTAGACCAGACAAAACAGACGTAAAGACAAAAACTACACAGTGGACCAAACACAGGACTACCCAATGCTGAAGGGTCGACTCACCAAGGGGATAGAACCGTTGTAAATGCATATACACGCTCAACCCCAGAGCACTAAGTGTAGGAAGGAAGAATTACAGACATGAAGGAAAAGATGGACTACAGGGTTGAGTGCAAGTTTGAGGCCAGCCTCGGCAACTTACTGAGACCCTGTCTCAAAAAGTAGAAAGGGCTAGTGATGTGACTCAGGATAGAGGGCCCCTGATGTTAGTCCCCCTGGAAGAGATGGACTACTGAATAGAAAGGGATTGAGAACCCTACTTTCAGCAATGGACATACCATTCAGACAGAGTCGACGTGAACATCAGACTTCAATTAAATTTTAGACTAAATGAACCCAGGACACACATACAGAACAGTTCCTCCAACATCCCCTCAACTGCACATGAAAGGTTCTTCAGGACAGAACATAGGTGATGCTGCTAAAAAAGTTTTTAATAATTGAAGATATGTGGATATTCACACCAAATATCTTTACTGAGCACACTCCCATGGGAACTAGAAATCAATAACAAGAGCAATTTTTGAAAATTTCCAAATACATGGAGATTAAAAAAAAAAAAAAACATGCTCCAAATCAACCAATGAGTCAAAAAAGAGATTCCAAGGGATATTTAAAAATTATGTTGAGACAAATGAAAATGGACAAAAACATACCAAAAGTTTGGGGTGCAGCAAGAGCAATCCTAGGAGAGAAGCTGATACTGGTAAGTACCTACACAGAAAAATTCTCAAATAATATGATTCTACCCCTCAAGGAACTAAAATGGAAGAACAAATTACATCCAAAGGTAGTAGAAGGAAAGAATTGATTAGGATGATAGCAGAAATACATGAAATAGAAACTAGAAAAATAAGAAAAAAAATCAATGAAACTAACAGTTGGTTTTTTTGAGAAAATAACTAAAATTGATAAATCTTTGACTAAGAAAACCAGAGAGAAGACTCAAAAGATAAACAGAAATGAAAGAGATGTTATGACCAATACCACAGAAATACAAGGAATCATGAGATTACTATAAACAATTACATGCCAAAAAAAATTGGTCAATCTAGAAGCAATGAAAAATTCCTGTACACAGGTAACCTACCAAGATGGGATCAGGAAGAAATTAAAAACATATGAACAGATCAAAAATGAATAAAGAGACTGAATGAGTAGTAAAAGTTTCTCATCAAAGAAAATTCCAGGACCTGACGACTTCACTCTTTGATTCTAATAAAAGCTTTTATGAGTGCATTATAATTACACACAACAGTGGCAATCATGGTACCATATTTGTATATGCACATAATGCAATTTGATCAATCCCATTCCCAGTACCTTCCTTCCCTTTCCTTCTCCTCCTCCCTTCCCCAATCCAGTTACTCTACTGATCTCCCTTCTATAATTGTTCTTATTATGATTTTAATTAGTACACTAATTATATGTAAGCACTATATTATATGTAGTATTATAATTATATGTAAACAGTATGTATTGCAGTATATCCATGCATGCACATAGCATAATTTGTTTACCAAACATTTAAAAAGAACTAATGTCAATCCTTTTCAAAAGCTCCTAAAAAACTGAAGAAGAAAAAATACTTCAAAACTCAATTTTTGAGGCTGGCATTACTCGGATACCAATGTCAGAAAAGGAAACCAAAGGAAAATAATTGTTCAATTACAGGCTAATGTTGCTTATGAACTTAGATGAGGAAGTGATTGACAGCACAAGGAAAATGAATTCAACACTACATTAAAAAAATAATAATTCACAAAAACAAGTAGGTTTTACCCAAGGGATGCCAGGATGGATTAACACACACAAATTCATAAATGTGATGCACCAGATCAGCAGAATGAAGGACGAAACCATATGATTTTCTCAAAGATGCAGAAAATTTATTTGACAAAATGCAACATCCTTTCATGATAAAATTAGGAATAGAAGTATTGAACCTCAAGACAAGAAAGGCTTGACAAACCCACAGCTAACAGCACATTCATCTGTGAAAAGTTGAAAGCCTCTTCTCTAAATCAAGAACAAGACAAGTAGGATTGCTTGCCGTTCATTTCTGTTAAACAGAATACTGGAAGTCCTGGTTAGGGCAATTAGGCAAGAGAAGGACATAAAAGACATGTACATTGGAAAGGAAGCAGTAAACTGTTTCTGATTGCAGATATATGGTCTTTATTCAGAAAACCCTAAAGATTCCACCAAAAACCAAAAAAAAAAACACTAGAATTAATCTTAACAATTCAGGTTCAGCATATCAATGAACATACAAAAACATAGAAATATTTCTATAAAATGACAAACTATTTAAAATCAAATCAATAAAATAATCTTATTCGTGTTATCTACAAAAATACTTAGTAATAAATTGAATCAAGGGGGGTACAAAACATGCATACTGAATACTAAAGAAATATTGATAAAAGAAGTTGATGAAGTCATGAAAATGGAATGATATACCATGTTCATGGATTTGAAGAATCAATACTGTTAAGTTGTACATACTACTGAAGGTGATCTGCAGATTCAATGCAATCCCTATCAAAACCCCAATGTCATTTTTTTCACAGAAATAGAAATAATCCTAATATTTATATGAAACCACAAAAAAGCCCAAATAATCAAAGAATGAAATTGAAGAAATCGTATTCTCAGACTTCAAGACATGCCACAAACTATAGCATCAGAGCAGTATGGTACACATTCCCCACCAAAGGGACAAAATAGAACCCAGAAATAAATCTCACATACTTGATTTCAGATAAAGGTGCCAAGAACATAAACTGGAGAAAAGACCATGTCTTCAGTAAGGTGGGCTGGGAAAACTGGATATCCACACATAAAAGAACAAAACCAAACCGTGTCTCACAGCCCCTCCAGGGGCCCATCTTCTCCTGCAGTTTCACTTACCCATGGTCAAACACAAACTGAAAATATACAACGGGGAATTCCAGAGATGGTCCCTAAGTGTTGAGGTGACATCACTCTCTGCAGCAGGATAAAGTCTCATGCCACCCAGCACCGCCCACTCGGGACATGAATCCCCTTGTTGCGTATGCCACCAGCTCCTTGGCCCAGCAGCCACCTGCTGTCAGACTGATGGCCATGCACTGGGTATCCCCGGGGCTTCTCCACAGGTACGACACCACCCCTGGGTCCAAACCTCCACTGGGTTCTGGAGGCATCTCCTCATAGATAAGGGAGGGCTCTGTACTAAAGCCAGCCTAAGTGGGGAAGCCACCAGAAGATGGCAGGCTCAAGCTCCACAGCATTGGTCTGGGGGAGAATATCATGGAGACGACCCTAAAAGCAAGGCAACCAGGGCAAAAATAAACAAGTGGAATTAGGTCAAGCCAAATGCTTCTGCACCGTAAAGGAAGTAATCAACAGGGTGAAATGACAAGATGCAAGAAGGGTGGGTGAAGAGATAGTCTATACAACCTTCGTCTTTGCGAACTGTACATCTGTAAGTGACTACTATCCAAAATGTAAAAGGAACTCAAAACACTCAACAGTTAGAAAAAAATAAAAAATTGGTAAAGGACCCGAATAGAAATTTCTCTCAAGAAAATAAATAAATATCCAACATTCATGAAAAAAATGCCAACTTTGCTAATCATCAGAGACATGCAAACTGAAACCAAAATATCCCTTTACGTGTATTAAATGGCTATTACAAACAAGAAAAAAGATAATGAATGGTGAGGAGTACATAGGAAAAAAAGGAAATCTTTGTACCCTGTTGGTGCAAATGTGAATGAGTATAGCCACTACGGAAAACACCGTGGAGGTTCCACATGAAACTAAAAAGAAACGACTATGGGCTGGGGTTGTGGCTCAGTGGTAGAGTGCTTGCCTAGCCCACGGGAGGC